GTGTCGCTAAAAGAAAACCTGAAAATTTAAATATAAGTCATATTTAAATTTTCGGGTTTTCTTTTAGCGACACTCATTGGTAGATCAATTAAAATTCGAATAAAAACAACTATCAAGATTACAGTATTGAAATTACGCAACAACTCATTAATCGTTCATATATTAAGATATTATCTAAACACTACACTATCAATACATCATTATCGATATCCGAATTTATAAAATACCAATGGATAGCCATAAAAGTATCTGGATAGATCTCTACACTGAGCTAATTAGCCTGGCATTAGTGAAGTCCATATCAATACGTAATTGTTATGTATTTGAGGCGGCTTTAATCACATGGCTTCGCTGGTCAATTTATTAGAATGGTTTTTTTTATCAAAGTATGACTCCTCACTTACGTCTGATCATAAGAATTCAAAAATAAATTTCATTTATATAATAAAACTCCATTTTTTTCAGCGATTTTTATTATTTGCTTCACTATGTCACAAGCCAACAAAAAGATTGCAGAGATTAAAGAGGATGTCGAGTCTTCGACGCCGTCCGTCAATACCCCATCCCATTCATCCGTTGCTGAAAAATCCGCAGCTCCTTTTACAACTGCGAGCACTCTCTTTGACCCTTATCCACATTACTTTATGTCTGCCGCAAGTAGGTGTGAAATAAAGATTTGATAAATCATTACAGTATTATTTTGTGGAAAATGCATTTGGTTTTTGACATTAAGTAAATAAAAGAGAAAGATTATTTTTATCCACTAATCGAAATTTTTTTAAATTCTTTTTAACAGCTTATCTTGGTAGCGGTTATGCTTATCAATATTTTAAACAGCCAAGAACTGCTGCTATTGTCGCCGCCATTGGTGCTGCTTATGGTGCAGCAGGGTATGTTTTAAAATTGAACGTATACGAGTCATACGAGTCATATGAGTCGTACGAGTCAGATGGAAAAATCTCACCTAATTTTTCTTATTATATACTATATATATAGATATTTAATTCACAAAAATGAATTTTCTTTGGGGTATAATGTAGCTACTGGTAAGTGTATATATTTATTATTATATAAAATGTTGGAAAAATATTCTTTGTACGTTATTAACTATAATTCCTTTAATATCTATTTTTTAAATGTATGGTGAACGCTTTTAAATAAACAACAGCGGCTTCAATTGGTCTTGTTGTTGTTTCTGGTCCAACAGCTTGGGCTACTAAAGATGCATTTCATGTTGCTCTGGGTTCTTTGGGGGCTATTAGTTTGGCGGGCAACGCATTGAAAATGTATCAAGTGAGAACTGGATTTCCCCGCAATCTAGAAATTAAACGTTAAACATAGATCTATATTACACGTGATATTCATAAATAAACTATTTTCTTGCTTGCATTACATACAGTATATTTTGCTATTACAAGATTTCATTATCATTTTTTAAACTTCCTATGATTCGAGATTTGTTATTATCATTATGGTAAATTCAATAGCGATAGGTTTCGAATCTTTTTAGTGTCGTTAAAAGAAATTTCTTTTAGCGACACTCATTTACGGCTTGTCAGATCTTGTTAGTGTCGCGTCACATTAGCAGTAAAATAACAAATATTCCCATAATTAAGACCTGGTTACTAATCAATTTAAAAAAAATAAAGGTTGGAATAATATCCCGGGTACTATAAAGCATGTTCAACGATAGATCCTCGTATTTAATTTATTGTATTTTTTACACCATTTAGTTCATAGAAACTTTGGTAACAAATTTTCTTAAAAGAATATCATGTGTTTTAACTAATACTTCGTACAAAATGATAAAATTCAGATGTGACAATCGCCTGCAAAAATTTCAGCATTCACGTGCGTACGTGCGTGCACGAATTAAATTACACCTATCTTTTTAACCGTTATTTCATATTTACTTGCCCAAGTGCTCATATGCTTCATGTTCTCACCTATCCCACAAATAATGTTGGTTCCATCATTGCATATCTTTGCTAACAACTTTATTATTTGTGCCTCGTCATTGCATTTTCATTAACCATTAATCTCTGTTATTATTTTATTGGTTTGAATGGTTCAAAAATCTCTTTTAGAGCATAGATAATTCTAATAATAAAAAATAAGTAGGTTATTTTACAAATTATATACTTACAGTCTATTATTTCCATGTCATAATTTTTTATCTACAAAAAAGATTACCAAGTGGTAGACCGCAGTTGAAGGGTATATAAATTTCATAGTAACAATCGACGGAGAATTACTATTACTTTCATATGATGTTGGAATGCCGAAAGTTTCTGGCGATATGTAAAATCATTTAGTCATGAAAGTGAAAATGTCAATAACTCGCAATCTACTAAACCAAGTTTAATAATTCTACCACTATTAGAATCGGAATAGCTTACTCTTATAATATTTGTTAGAAACTCAAGGAAGGTTTACTTGGCATAAATAAAAAACTTTTCATTGTAAGCTAGCTGCATCCACCCTATAGACAATTTCTACTATTAAATTTGCTATTTTTTATACCCTTTACCCGTGATATAAAATAATTGGTACATATCGATATTAAAAACTAAATTTATATTTTACTGTGCCTTGATATTTATAAGTATCATTACATGAAATAAAAACTATTTCTATAACTTGATTCAATATATCATTTATTATACTTTGTAGTTTTTTTTTTTTACAGACTCGGATAATATCCTGGAATTGCGAAATTTTGTTTACACGGATCAGCCCGAAGAAGTCAAAAATAAAGAAAACGCAAAAAGACAAAAAAACAGCAGTTTAAACCTGTCTTGGGGCACTAATTAAAAATATCGGGAAGGCAATTTTACCTATAACCCTCTTCTTATATCAACACCAACCTAACCCTAATTCTAACCTTAATTTTAATTAAACCGATTAAAACGTCAAAATCACGTGGATACATGGTTTTAGCCATCCCCTGAAATTGTAATTCGGATTTTTTCCTAACGCTAAATGGACACATACAATTTCCCACATGATTATGTTAAATGAGTAACTATCAGATGCTTTACTATATTGCCATTTGTTTAAAATTTCTGGAGCAATATATAATAAAATTCCATAAATTCTAGATCTGTAATACTGTATATGCATTTTCTTTCTAATTCATTATTGCTATATACATTAGTGTGAAATTTTTACGCAAAAAACGCAGAACAACTCTTTGAAGCATATTTCGTGACAGGAATTTAATCTTTCATCTTTTGATATATCATGTTATCTTTTTTTTGTAAAAAGTTTAATCTTGAATTGGTTTATGATTTATGACTTAATTAGTAATCGTTCAGAATGCAAATTTGTGTCTCTTTCTATTAAGTCAAATCACAAATGGTTTCTTAGGCTTGAGTTTCTTTAAAATAGGGTTTGGGTTAGGTGCAGGTTTATTATGCCACTTTTCAGGCTAAGCTCAATAAGTTATAAACCTTAAAGCTAAACTTGTTTTTATAAGACGTGGAAAGGCTTTGAGTAACCACATAGAGTCACGTGTTTATGAAATTTAATTGAGGTTTAGACGACTTCCGGGTGTTGAACTTTAACTGTCCTTTATTTGAGATAGAATTTAAGAAAAAAAAAAAATTTTTTTTTTATTATGAATTTTTACGCTTATTTGGTATTTGTTAAGAGTAGCGACACTAGATGTCTTAGGGTGCTTTCACCAGAAAAGAATTTCGATTTTAAATAACCAGCCTTTAACATAAGAATTAAACATAAATAATTGGCCACGTATCATAGTGCAGCACTCTATGATTAGCACACTTTGTAAGATTTGTCATTATAGAGATATAAGATCTTCTTTATAGCATTTTTATTATATGACCATAATAAATTATCTAGATAACCTGGTAGTTTAATAACACTCGGGTAGAAATTTTATTGACGGGTACAGTCTTTAAATAGATAATTCACTATATATCCATATATTAACGATCTTGTTATACGTATTCTATTCTGAAATGATTTTCCATTAGAAAATCTAAAACTGCATCTGCGCTTGTTATTGTCGTTATTAAGATTAACATCTGCCCGAAATTACGCTTCAAACGCCTGTTGTTACGATACCGGAAGTGCTTAGTGACTTTATTGATGTGTTTAGCTTGAATCGTAATGTGTTACGATTCCAGGTGAATTTGATATACATTACAGCCAGACTTAGCACGAATCGTAAAGCATTAAATGGTTAAAGCGAGCGAAAGCAAACGTTATACAAGCAACCCTTTATATAGCTTTTCTACTAAAGCTAAAAAGAAAGAAAATCATTACGCCGCAATTAAGCAATAATCTTTTAGCTCTCAAAAATGTAGTAATGTTATTACTGCACTAACGCTAAGATGCAATCTTTTGGCACCGGTATGATTACTTTGACATTTTTGCAATCATGACTACGTTCCTGGTATCTAATTTTTACATTATTACTTAGTCGATTAAGCCGGCTAAGCCATTTTTATTTTATCGACTTGGTCGATACTTAAGAACCGTCTACAAAAATTTATTTAATCTCGCGGATTATCGTGAAATCGGACCATCGTAAAATTTGAGGGTCTCAATTTGAAAATATAATCCTACCAAAACCCATCTGTACTCTTTTATTAATAATTCTAATCCTAAATCCTAACTTAACTATAAAAAAAGAGCCGACAAAAAAAGGCTTAAAAAATTTTAAAAATTGTACATAAAATAGATCCAAATTTCACGATGATCCGATAATCCGCGACATTTAATAAATAAAATACAACAATCTTCGATTGCAAATTTCACGTCAATATAGGCCAATTGATAACGATAATTGTGCCTTGTGAAATAGTTTTCGGCTACAAGTCGAAATCATCATAACGGTATAGGACGTCTGTATCGACACTGCGTATGATGCTATGGAAATGGAACCCACAAGTCTACAAACAGTTGCCTTCGGAACAAATACTCTGCGTGTGATACTGTGGGAAGAAATGGACTCGTAAGTTTACAAATAGATACCTTAGAAATCTCGACAACATTTGATATTTTATATGTAGACATACGAAATACTTATAAAAAATTAAGTGGGAATACATTATACATCTTCAAGAATCTCCACGCTATTAATCGGGTTACTGACAACTATTTTTGACTTGATCTCTCGCGTGTTGATGAGCTTTGAAGTATACATATGATCCGGATGCTTTTGTTTGACGGTTGGTAATTCATTTATAACCTTGTCAGCTTTTAAGAATTGCCTCTTTATTATGCTTAGATTACTTTCGTTCACAAGTTCTTCGATCCAATAAGTAATTAAAGCATTAATACTCTTAGCAGTAGGCCTTTCTTTTAGATCAGAATGCATGCATCGCTTAACTAATTCAATATAACATTCAGGCACTCCAGGTGCGAGTTCAGGTCGCAATCCATTGCAAATTCTCATCGCAAGACCGGCATTAAATTCGCAATCGTCAAAAGTTCTTTGGCCAGTCGTTATTTCAGTCATGATAATCCCGAAACTGTAAATGTCAGCGGCTTGCGATAACGGGTTTCCCTGTAGAACCTCAGGTGCTACATAAGGTAAAACTCCATGTACTTCTTTTTTTGTATTAGAAAATCCTAAATCGGTAATATACGCGTTACTTAGGTCATCTTGCAAAATGTTTCCACTATGAAGATCTCGATGTTCTAATCCTTGCGAATGAATTGCTTCAAGATCGGATGCTATGCAACTTAATAAATTTAACTTTTCTTCCCATTTCATTCGTGATACTTTATGAAGATTATTACGTAAAGGCCCCTTTTCCGCATATTTCAAAACAATAACATATTTTCCTGTATCATCTCTTGATATGTCATAACATTTTAAGAACGAAGGATTTTTATATCCTATCTCGCAAAACGCTTTCAACTTTTAAAAAAATACATTAATTATAAATTCAAATACTTAAACAAAATTTAATAAATTTTTACCTCATCGAAAAAATCTTGATCATGAATTGTTTTAATCGCAAACGAGTACTTATCATGAGCATCCTTATATTTAATTAAACATTTAGCATGATAAACGGTTGCAAAACCTCCCTTCCCAATCACCTCAATATTTTCAAATTTATCATATGGAATCCACAATAATTGATACCTCTCATCATTAAATATTTCTTTAACGTTGTCATCAATATCAGAATAAGAGAATTTCTCTATTTCTGTTTATTTTTAGATTAATAAGAATTTAGCAAAAATAAAACAGAAATGAAAGCAAAAATTACCTTTAAAATTATTTTTCTCCCTATAAATTCAGAAATTATAATTATTAAATATTTAATATTATATATATATATATTTTAAAAGCAACTTACATTCGAAACCAATGCTCGGCCTCTTTTAAATCCTTTTTCGTTCCAATCCCATTCCGATAACAATATCCAACATTTTTTATTCCGTCAACATTACCCAATTTAGCAGATTCCATATATAATTCAAAGCCCTTCTTTAGATCCTTTTTAACTCCAATTCCATTCTGATAATATCCTCCAAGATTAGAAATAAAACAAGTATTTCCCATTTCAACAGCTTTTTGTAAACAAAGAAATGCCTTTTTTTCATCTTTTGCAACTCCTTCTCCAAATCGATAACAATTCGCAACACTATTTATTCCAGGAACATAACCCATCTCTGCAGATTTTTGATAATAAAAGAAGGCCTTGTATTCGTCCTTTTTGACACTGATTCCTTCTTTATAATATTCTGCATATATATAATAATATTCACCTGCTTTACGTTCATCCTTGTCGACTCCAATTCCTTTCTCATAACAACATCCAACATTTAATGCTCCATTAACATAACCCATTCCTGCTGATTGTCGATAACTATAGAAGGCCTCATATTCGACTCCTTCTCCTTTATAATATTCTGCAGCCTTATAATAATATTCGCCTGCTTTGTATTTATCCTTTTCAACCCCAATTCCATCTCGATAACAATGTCCAACTTGATTTGCTCCACTAGCGTGCCCCATCTCTGCAGATTTTTGATAATAAATGAATGCCTTTTGTTTCATCCTTTTCAACTCCAATTCCATTTTGATAACAACATCCAACATTATATGTTCCAATAGCATGCCCCATCTCTGCAGATTTTTGATAATAAATGAATGCTTTATGTTCATCCTTTTCAACTCCAATTCCTTCATCATAACAATATCCAACGCTATTTGTTCCATTAGCATACCCCATCTCTGCAGATTTTTGATAATAAATGAATGCCTTATGTTCATCCTTTTCAACCCATTTACTATAAAGATAACAACTTGCAAGAATGTTATAAACCACAGGATCGAATTGATTATCTAAGCAGCAATTAATAATATCATTTGGATTTTGCTTCTTTTTTGTTAGAAATTGTTCTAATGTTTCAAGAATTGACTTGGAACTTTTGCTTTTTGATCTTTCTTCATTATACAAATTACACATTTCTTTAATAATTTCATTAACAGAACCCTTATCGTCTTCTAAATGCAATTGAATAACTTCGTTGGATATTTGAGTAACATCTGATGAATGGTCGATTTTTTCTAGCTGCCTTACAATTGACATTTTGACGTAAAAAAGGAATATCTTGCATATGGATCCATTATCGTGCTTTCAAATTATCGTTATTGTGATCGGTAATCGGTATCACACATCACGGGAAATACAGTACTAACGGTATAAAATTACTATGTATACCAAATAGAATTAATGAATTTGTAACAATAGGTTATTGTAACCGTAACTAAGATCAGGTATAACGTGACTATCAAACCAATTTTTTTTATAAAAATAAAACTTCACGGTTAAGGTTAGAGTTAGGGTAAGGCTTGGGTTAGAGAAGACGGGGAATTTTTTTTGTTAGAACGTAAAAGATGGTTTTATAGTCAAAATTTTGAGTTAATGATTTTTTTAAAAGAAAAGTTTTTGTTTTTACGGTAACCGTGGTTACAAATTTATTATCTATAAAATATTAAGGAGCTATGGTGTGATAAAATGCATTTTGTCAATCTTTGCTTATTGTAGGCAATTCAAGTGTAACATAAAACCATATCTCTGTACGTACCTTTACTTACCATCACAAACATTTATCACTATTAGGGTAGCAATTATACTCAGGCAAAACGACATCTAATGCAAGCGTTAATCTGAGGCACAACATATATACCATTCCGAATAATTAAATTATAGTGTTTATCGTTGCTATATCAAATACTAATCAGCGAGTTTTCAAAATATTTAAATTATTATATAACTCGGGAAGCTCATACATTTCACACAACCTACGTACGTGCCAGAGGCACGGGTTATACACTAGTATATCTTAATTTTCCATCTCACATTTTATATTTAGATTAAATTTTTGTGCATCAAAATTTTATAATTTCTCTTGCGCGTTATTGTTTGTGCAAGCTCCTTATTTAAATTTAATTGCACACTTGTGCATATGCATTTAGAACTTCTCTTGCACAAAAAAAAGCTACTTGCGCATGTGCATCTTGTGCGAGGTAATTTTAAACACTGGGTCTGACTGTACTCCAAAACTAATATATAACGATCTACGTTCAATTGTATTACTTAGCCAATCAAAAGGACTTTCCATCATGTGATACGTTATTTGAAATAATTCATATATTAAACAATTTATATAAAAGTGTGTGCAAATAAATAAAAATTGACTCATAACCTAAAAGCAGGCTCTTTGCTTCGCTCCGGACAATAATGATTACAAGGCTAACTATTCATTTTATCATTATCCCCATTATAATTGATTTTATTAATTTTAGTTGTGGGTTTGTTCCGTCACTAAGACAAGGTCATACGGCAATTCTTATTGATAATAAAATATATTTTCATGGCGGAGATGATGCTTTGAAAATATATTCTGACTTATTTTATCTTGACGTTTCAAGACCTTTTACTATAACTGACATATCATTAATGCCCTGGACTGATCTATCTTCACTTTCAAATTTCACCGGACGATCATTTGGAATGGCTTGTGTTGGTGGTAATACAAATCAATCAATATTTTTTATTGGTGGTTACATTAATTCTGGCCATTTTGTTGATGAGTTTAATACCATAACACAAACATGGAGCACACCATCAATATCAGGAGCGAACGTATCGCAGGCGGGTAGATATCAAATTCAATGTGTGGAATTAGATAATGAAATATATGTATTTGGTGGAAATAAGAGTAACGATATGATTAAACTAAATACATTAACATTAACTTGGAATATAATGAATGCAACAAATCCTCCCGCTACGTATTATGGATACACCGCAACTTTACTGCCAAACGGAAATATTTTGTATTTGCCAGGAATAAATGTTGATATCCAAGCTATAGATACTTTGGATAAGGTTTAGCTTTTTAAATATGCTCGTTACTCAATTGATTTCTATTATTATTCCTATCATTTATTTATACATATTTAATTTTTGAAGATATTAATATATAACACTCGCAATAATTCGTGGAGGACAGTTGTAAGTTAAATATGTAGCGGTATAAATCTTATTTATCTTAATCTTATCAGTTTTGACTAAATTAATTTAGAATGCTACTGGTACGATACCGCACCCAAGAAATGGACATACAGCAGTTCTTATGGGTTTAGTATCTATATACTTTGTATATCTTTGTCGTTATAAGTAATGTCAATTAATTAGAAATTTATTATATCGTCATGTTAGCACAATATGATCAGATTTTAATAATTAATGGAGTTATAAATAGTGCCATTCCTGTTTTAGATATCAACAAATTTGAGTGGTCAAGTGTTGCAATAATAAGTGCTGGTGGCCCATCGCCAAATTACAATCTTATTTTTCAAACATCAACACTCATTGGAAACTATATTTTGGTTGGATTTGGTAGGTATCAAATATATTTTTTTGAATAGCCTCCATTTTTAAAAAATAATATTCAAAAAATTGAATTTTTTAGGACTTGCTGATAATGGAACAACCATAAGACTTACCAACGACATCTTTCTTCTTGACGTAAGTCAGAAGAATAATTATAAATGGGTTAGTTCGTATTATCCTCCAGACTATTCTACAAATAATAATGAAAGTTTTAATCCTAACAATAATAATACTGGTGAAACAACTAAAATTTTACTTGAAATTATTTTACCTATAATTATTTTATTAATTATTGGGTTTACAGTGACTATCTTTATTTATAAACATTTTAACTTAAAGATTGTTATTATTTTAAATTTATAAATTTATTTAATATTGATGTGTGATAATAAAATTTAAAATAGAGTTGTTAATGATTTGTTCTTATAGTGCTCAATATCATAAATTATTTATTATTTGGATTATAAAATGTTGATATAAAAATATTGAAGGTGAAAGTTTGGTATTTTAGGCTCTAATAAAAATATATATATATATATATATATACTGTATATATATTTAGTGCATGAAATACCAAATACCAATTATTTGACAATTTTTGAGATATCATCATTAGGATGTTCCATAGATACGTCATTTTTTATCACAATAAATGAATTTTTTTTGAAATTAGTTAATTGCTTGTTCTTCTCTTTCAAATATTTGAAAAACTTCATAATCTTCTACAGAAAATTTTTCACTCGTATCTCTAATTTTTGAATTATAAACTGACTTTTTACAATAATTATTTTCATCTTTAAAATCCTTTTTCAAACATAAATCCTGACCAAATAAAAGACCTGGTTCCTTTGCTAAATTAAATAATAATATAGTTCTAGCCGGTTTGCCTATTAAAGAATTTTCAGGATTATTTTCATTAAGTCTAAAAATAAAACTCTTATTCGTTTTTAGATTTATAATATTTATTTTTTTTTGATTCCAACTTTGATGATTGTAACCTCCCAAAATTTCACCCGTATGGATTTTCAAAAGTAATAGTGTCGGACCTTTGCCATCACATTTTTCATGAAACTTTTGCGCTTTAAACCCATCTTTGGTTTCACTTCCTCTAATAAGTAGCCTAAATTCATGAGGGATTAATAAATCATCATTGACAGGGTTATTATCCCCATTAATCCAATTTGAAATATGTTTAAAGTGTTTAAATTTAATTATTTTCGAATCGTTGAGAATACTAATGAACGAATGTTAAGATTATTTACTGTTAAATGCTTCCATTATTCGCATCATGATAATATTTTAAGAATCACTTACCAAAGACCATTTTCAAAGGAATCATTTTCCAAATTAACT